AGGTAGAAGAAGTCTTAGACTTAAGGCGGTGCTAAAATAGGTTGGAATATCTTGTTCATTGGTACGGATATGGTATTAGTGAAAGCACATAGAAGCCATCAAAGAATCTTGTAAATATAGTAAAGAGAGTTGAATCTTTTCATCAACAAAATCCATCAAAATTAAGATGAAAAATAGTAAATCTTTGCTATAACAGAAATAAGATCAAAGGAAGATAACATCTACCTTCTATCTTTCTTTGTAGCTTTTGTATATTTGTGACACTATCGTATTATAAATCCTTATAGTATGTAAAAATTAATTAAAACATATTATATATTAATAAATCTAGATGTGTGTTAGAGTAGTTAGTAGATTAAATTAAAAAGAGTTGGTATAAGAAACTTTACTTTTTACTTTTTACTTGTTTTGATTTTGGCATTAAAATATATATATATATATATATATATATATATATATATGAATTAAATGTTTAGTATAAAGCCTTGAGAGAAGGTGGAAGCCTAAGGATGAAAATCTAAACTAGTAGGAGGCTAATTGGAAGGGATGAAAGCAAGGCATGGTTGGATGAAGGCAAGGAATGGAAAACTTCATTCCTATTGGTCAAATATCATATCCAATGGACTTTGAAGAGGTTGCTTGCGACCTTAACAAGGATTTTAGAAACTTCAAAGAAGGCATTTGGAAATTAGAAGATAGGGTTGTAAAGTTTAGAATTTGGACTACAATTTGTGTACAAAAATTAGAGGATTTGGAGTTAGGGTGAAGAAGTTATAGCCATTTGAAGTTAAGATATTAATTTAAGACATATTGTTATTCTTTTGAAGATATGAGGAATTGTACAGCAGTTTTTGAAGATCAAAAGGTGCTGTTAGAACGGCGATTTCAAGACCTACATCTTTTATGAAAGAATTATTATTTTTGAAGTTCAAGTGGAGTTATAGGGAGTTGAAGGCGACACTTTCAAATCAAAAGCAATAAGTGAGTAGTTTTATTTATAGTAATGATTGGAACCATAACTTGAGTTTTTGGACAAAATTTTGGCTAAAATTTTTTGAAGAATGTAATATTTTGTATTAAAAAGCTATACATACAAATTTTATGGCATTTGAGCTTATATTTTGTGAGGTATGAAGAAAATTATAAGCAAATATATAAAGACAAGGGTTTAAAGTGACTATTAGGATTTTCAAGATATGTCAAGATCCGCAATGAATTTGTAGTTGAAATTTATTGTAAAATGTAATAAGAATACATTAGTATCTCATATAAAATTTGAATTTGTTTGGACAGTCAGATTAAGAGATATAAGGTGTTGAAGTTTGGAAAAGTTTTTACACAAGTATATACAAGGCTTTAGAGGATTTTATTATATTTTGGGTGTTGTTGGTTACTTGAGACTTATGTATTTGGTGTAATTGAACAAAAAGAAAAAAATTATATATAAAATTAGGGCTTCTCTTATTTTGAAGCTTGATTGAATAATTAATAATAGCCAAAAGCCCAATTTTTTCTTGAGGCAAACTCTCTCTACACTAACAATCCTAAAGAGATGGAAAACCAACAACCAATAGATTCAACTCAAGAGCTTTTATTTGCAAACTTAACAAACAAAACATTACGATTGTTACAACCTTTAAGATGATGAAATTGAGATGAAGATTTTGAAGAACAACATGTCTTTCTTTAAATAGATGGCAAGATAAAAACATGTTTGGTATCACAACCTTAGAAGCGGCTCCAATGTTTGGTGATTTTATTAGAAGTAGAAACAACTCTTGACGATCTTATAAATATTTTATTTGAAGGAAGTTATGAAGGCTTCAACAATGACCAAATAACATGGTGGTCTTTTCGCCGTGATATGGCACACTATCAATAGTTGAGAGGGCCTATCAACTATCTTCAAAGACAACAAAGATCGGAGTATGTGGCAAATATAATTTGCCACATCTTGGATTTCTTCAATATATGAAAATTGCTCTTTGTGAAACTCATCCCTAGAAGGGAGGATAATGTCATGGACATACATAGGTATTCTAATAAATACTTATATGATTAGGTAGGAATATGTAAAAGTAGATAAAAATAGATTAATTTTATAAGACCTTTTAGAAGTGCTTCTTAGAAGCTTCATAGATGTTGTTTGACTTTAGATGTGTTTGTTATTGATTGATAGATTAGAAACTTAGTCAATAAGTTAATCACATATTGATAGCTTGCAAAACAAGCTAGCTATATGGCACACATATAGAAAACTTGCCTTATAAGTTAGGATATGTGTCTTGGAAAGTCGACATATTTTGGAGGTCCTATAAGACATCACCACATAGCTCCTAGTTAAGAGTATATATGGAGGCAAGAGTGAAGCCTTCTAAATTCTTGTCAATGCCTTTTATATCCTTAGTTTTGTTCCAAGTCTTTCTAGTCTTCTTGTTTTTGGCAATAGCCATTCTAGTTCAATATTATATCATCTTTGAGTGACTTTCTAGCTCTTTTTAGTGATACATGAGTGTATTAAGGATTTTCTTTCCTTGAGATTTATGTCCTTGATACTTGTATCTCATGAAAGAGATGTAGCTTTTGATCAATAAAGAATGATTTTCATGAAGTCAAAGTATTTTTATTTTTGAGCAATGAAATTAACATTGATTGTTAATTCAATATTTTTTAAGTAAGTTCAATTAAGTATATCCTTTGATCTTCTTATTCATGATTCTTAATAATTCTTCTAAATCTCAAAATACTTCTAAGTTTGAATTTAAGAATAATCTACTCTATTTCAAAGAGCAATTATATATTTCAAAGGGCAAAGTATGATTACATATTCTTCAAGTTCATTACAACTTTTTAGCAGTATAATATTTTAGATACAATAAGACTTTGGAGCTAATATTCAAAGATTTTTAGTGGCCTCAAATGTGGAAGGCAATGAAAGGCTTTATAATACATTCTACTTTAAATATAGTCACATGTTTTTGTGATTGGTGGTAAGGGACAAAATCATGAGGTAGTATTGGTTCTAAGAGTGTTAGATATAGTAGATCAACAGGCTAAATTAATGATGTTAGAGGCCAAGCAAAGAAAAGCTTAAGTGAGAATAATAGCAACCAAAGCAAGTCAGGATCTAATAGTATTGTTTTGTCTTTATGTGATGAGATAAAGTATAGATTGAGAAAGGGGAGTTTGACTTGAATGTATTGATAAATATACCAAATTAAGGTTACTAGCACTTTGTGTGGTAGATAGAGCATTGTATTTGTGACAAAATGGTATGAGTAGAGTATATTAAAGATATGAACTTAGTGTTGCATAAGGCCATTGTATATGTACTACAGAAGGACTACTACATATTGTTTTAGCTTGTAGTTATAATTCAATACGAAGATGTGATATGATGGTGGTTCTTAATATTGTAGCCAATTTCTCAAGTAGAATTGGACAAAATACTCAAAGTTTTGAAATGACTATATTGGCCTATAGAAGTTTCCAAATAGATTTTATGGTTGTATTAAGAAGATATAAGTTGCCATATAAGGTAGATTTGATAAGTGTTGAATCATATTGTGCTAAGAGATGATACTTTTGATGTTTTATGAAAATTACACTATCTTATTAGCCATAGTTATTTATTAAAAATAGTTTTTTTTATAAATTTGAAACATAAAGTGTATTGGTAAGGCAAATGGTGTATCTATTCACCATACATATTTCTACCTTTCCTAATCCATAGATGAAAAGAGTGGTGTTATTACTAAATTAGACTTCATTTTCACCAAATGAGAAAAATTCAAATGTAATAAATTAATTTTTGTTATGTGTCAAGTAATGTGTTGCAGTTCCTATTATTTGTAATGTTTGAATTATTGTGCCATATTGAGATGGCATAGATTTTATAATAGTAAAAATTCCTATTTGTGGTGGAATGATGACTCTTGTAGAATGATATTGCTAAAGTAAAGTCTTAAAATTGTGGGGATGTATAATTAATTCTCATCCTTTCATTTTTTGTGTTACGAACTTTTTTTGTAGGTGTGCTTAAGTGATAACATTACTAGCAAAATATGTATTCTCTAGTGCCAACCATACTTCATTGGTTGTTTTGCATGTTCTTATCTGTAAAAAGATGGAGTTATTGTAACAATTCCAAATGGTTGTAAGTGCAACATGGTGTTCTTCTTCCAAGTAAGAATCTTAGCATGATTTGTTGTTGGAGATTGTGTTATTCTACCTAGTTCTGGAATTGGTAGTGGCTCTTTTTCTTTGCCAAAAATTAACTCTCACATTTCCTCTATGTCAAATTTCATTTTTATATGTATACCAATAATGTATACAAGAACCATCAAATTTTGGTCATTCCTTGGTGGTAAGACTATTGCTATTGGACACCATGCCTTTCTCTAGATTTTTACATTTCTGAAACTTTTAGTTTTAAGTTCTCAATTCTTTTTCAACTCTGATACCATACTGGAATTAGTAATTAAGTATAGTTTGGTATCTATTTTTATTGATTATTGTTCTTATGTATTACAGAATATATTCTGTGAAGGAAGCCACGACCAGAGGGGTCTCGTCTTCCCCGAAGGGTGTGACTGTTCCTACTATTGCGGGAACAGGGGACATTTTGGCTATCCAGTTAATTAGGGTTTCCAATATTAATAACCCATCTGCAGTAAGATGGAAAAACCGACAGTGCAGTGTTTAAAGCCCGGAAGATGCTCCAATCGTCTATCACTGAGTGTCATTCTGTCTTCTGAAATGTGCCAGAAAATCTGCTCAAAATGCCATGTCTGCAAACTTCCTGCGTGCTTTTCTTTAGGATGTAACACGTCTTCAAACACGAGGTCAGGGGGTTATATTGATTCAGAAGATATACCCTGGCCAGTCACAGTGGCATAAGAAATGAAGATGTTTATGCAAATGAATACTGTAACGCTTTCACACATTCTTCTGCTCTACACCCACAACATCCATTGTTTTGGCAGAAAAGAACGATTGTCTTTGATCTAGAAAGGTTCACACCTAGTGCCTTCAAATTAAAATGATTCTCCACAAATTTACACATGCAGTGACCTGTGCTAGATCGAAAAATGATGCCATGAAGCAAGACACTGCTGATTCTAAGAACTGCAGAGGTACACTTTCCGTCAAGCTCATCCGCTACTACGAAAGCACCCAACGTATATTTCAGTTGATGAATCTGCACTCAAGCATGATGCTCAAAACTAAATTACACCACTGTGGGAGGGATTGCAATCTCTATCAAGTCAACTCACAAACCCTGACACTAGTGAAATCCGAACAAATAAACTAAAAATGTCCTTTATCATCGTCACCCAAGCACACAAAAATTGACCAGAAGCAGAAGGTTTTTCCTGCTGCAACTTCCTACCTCTCAAATATTACAACCAATCTAACTGTACCTTCTATGGTTTCACGTCTGAGACCGCTTTGAGCCCCAAGATTGAAGTCGATGCCGATCCTCCAATTTAAGGATCATGATTTTTGCTCCAAGTTACTCTATCAAGAGGAAGTAATTACATTCCACTCATAGCCCCGTTTTGCATGTGACGCTGCTTGTAAGCGAGGGATACATTGACAAATGGCTGTCGTTCAGTAGACCTGGAGGCATCCTGCGCAATTTAGAAAAATGTAGATATTTAATAGCAGTTCGTAGTTTAGGAACATTTCCAAGAATATTCCTATAGTGTAATCCAACCTATCCCCCATTGTTACATAATCTCTCTTTCACAAAGCAAAGAATACTTCCCTCACCTCTCGATTTACTTCGTGTAAAGTAAATGGCATTTATCCTTGACAAAGAATGGCATACACTGGTCCCTTCAAACGTCGACAATTTGATCAAGTTAATTAAGCAAGTAAAGTATCAAGGTTCACCTTCATTGTGCTGTCCCTCTCTGGAGCTTGAGAACTGCTACCCTGAACGTTAGGAGGTGCGCGTTGTTCATTTAGCATGTTTCTTGCCTTAGTTTCCACGAGCTCCCGCATGATTGCCCCCTCTTCCAAGTCAGGGTTGTGATGCCAATAATTTCCCAAAAATGTCTTTGCTCCATCAAGACTGGGAAAATAGGGAGGTTCAAAATAGAGTTGCGAAAGAGCTTCTGCAGCAGAAATCTCTGTCTGCACGGTACCCTTATATTCTCCACTACCCATCACAGCTATAACAAGTTGTTGGTATGAGAAGTAAAACTGACGCACAGAGACTTCCACGGCTTGGAAGGACTGCAAAAGATGAATTACACTGGCGTGTGTTGTTATACCGGATGTTTTCATTCCGTGAGTGTGAAATAACTCCATAATAGCTTCCTGGAGCCGCGGGCCTCCTTTGGGGTCAGCTTCTACGCCCACAGCTTTTGGCACCAGGTGTCTTAGATCTTTGCAGGCTCGGGTAACCTCTCGCAGCATGTTCGAACGTAAACAATACGCACCTGTAATAGCCAAACACATAAGTCAAGCTTGTTTACCTCCTCATCCTAATGTTTCACCGATCATCACCACCGCCCATATGCAAGGACAATGAAACTCAAGTAAGTACTGGTGTAAACAACTGGATGTTAGCAGTTTCAGAACTGACCTCCTCCGATGTGTTCAAATCCGTAGTTGACTCCTACTTGAGCTTTTGTGTTGATAGCAAGCTCGTGTTTCAGCCTCATGAAGTCATCAGGGTCCATGACTTGGAGAAGGTCCATAGTAGCCACTAGAAGCTTCCAAACCCTCTCTACAAGCCAGCACTTCTTTGCAGCTCCTACAGGGTCACCGGCCTTCACACGTTCCTCAATGACTTGCAGTAATCCATGCGCAACCATGAGCCATGCCTCTAGAATTTGATGTGCAGTGCTGAGCGTGTGATCTTCGGGATGCCCTGGTGCCGCTTGACGACAAGCGAATACCTGCAGCATGGGAAATAATATAAATTATTGAGCAACCATTGAGGAACTGAAAGTGGTGTACTCATGCAGTCGAAATTCTGCGACATATGAAGCTGGAATGTACACACAAAGTCTTACAATGCAGATACAAGTGAGGACGATGTGATGAAGAGGTTGAAGTTCTCAATACCTCCAAAGGGGTGCAGATCCTATCGTACTCTAAAACTGGTTTTCCTGCAAGGTTAGGTTCTCCAAGACCAAGAGTAAATGGTGCACGCATCATGTGGCCTTCAATGGCATACAACAACCTCGACCTCAGACTCTGAACACCCTTCCAGTTTGGTAACACAGAAAGGAGACTTGTTTGACTAGTACGGCTCATAAATGGTCTTGAGCCGACCCTCTGCCACGCTGGTGGCATGGAGCCTGCTGATGTAGTAGGAGCCTTTTTATCGCCTTCAACCAAGTGGGAGACGAGCTCAATCTCCATATTAGCCAAAGACTCTAGCTTCCGGAGCCATTCATCTCGAGCAATGTAGGGCCGAGGATCCTGCAGGATGCTTGTTATCATACGGAAAACCATTTCCAAAGTATGAAGGGCCGGTTTAACGACGCTCTCGTTAGCCCAAGTCGGACAAACGGGGGATCGCCATAGCCGCATGAGGTCAGGAAGGTGAAGGTAAAGTTCATAGGCCTCAACTTCATCTGGAGAGGGTTGCACCAATGCCTCAATGTCGCAGTTGGCAAGTGATACTTCTACAGGGGTTCCGTGAATGAGCGCACAGTGAACACCCCCACACATTCGGGAACTTAGTTTATGAGGATCTACGTCCCGATAATTTCCCCTAAGTTCCTGATCATCTATTCTACCCCTGTAGCTTCCCATTGTTGCACTCTATCCAGCCGATCCAATGTTCACGCCTTAAATATCACCGAAATTAATTCTACAAAACTTTGCTACAAATCTGAAACGACACGTGCTCGCATTCTTCTGCTCAATGTAAACCTACAAATTTTGTAATTGAAGGGAAGATGAAAATGCACGACAAATCTAAGTGTGATATAAAACTGTGTTTCTACTTTACAGTTTCCCAGGATGGCTGTCGGAGGAAGCAATATAAGGACATTCTACACAACGAGTGAGTAACTACGTTGGATTGGGTAGAAGGCTGCAATGATCGATTCGAGGCTGCAGACGCTAGAAAACCACGGCTTTTCTGTACCCGCCTGATCAATACACTGCGAGATGACTTCGAAAGTTTTCAAGATACGCTAGGAAAATCTTGAAGCAGTACACAATGTATTAAATTGCGGACCTAGACTGAAAACCCATCTAATTAATTCTGTGAACACCTTTGTCCATATTCTTAATTTCTTCCTTTTTTACCCTCTTCCTCTTGCGAAGAACTGGTCTTAAACAAATACCGTCTTCAAACAGAAGAACCCAAGAGAGCTTCTTATTCAAGTCTTCCAAGATTTCAGTCTATCAATGCTGATTTCGACTACGTAGCCTACACGTTCCAGAATGAAACAAATATACGAATATACTTCTGAGAAAGATGTAACCAGTAATAAATTTTACACCTGCATCTCCAACAATACCCGCCTTGAAACACAAAAACCCCTATCTCACAGGTGTAACTCCAGAAAATGTAGTGCAACGCCTTCTTTACACTATGTCATCTATTTGTGCAACATTCTCTCTTTATTCTACCAGGAAGAGATCTCTATTTCTCATTCTCACTCATTTTCAACTAACCTTTCCCGCTTAGTATCCGAAAAAACAGCACGTCTCCACGGTAAGACCTTCCGGGAATACAAAGCTATTCGACGACTTCCTGGATCGCAAGGCGCAGAACAGTAGATCGTAGGCATCAGAAAGGACTTGCACTAAAAAGATGTAAAAAGATCTCCCACGCCGGAAGCAAGGATGACAATTCAGGGCTATTGCCTCTTCATGCAGAAATAACCTCTTCTAAGAAAACCCCAACCTCTTTATGAACACCCTCAATCGAAGTCACCTGCACATCAGAAAGTCATTCGTCATCAAGAGAGTAAAAATGAGTGTAGGATCTACACACTTTTCACACCAGACCACCCTCGTAGTACAAATAGGTCTCATCAAGTCAGCTACAGATTCTAGGATCGGCGCGCCTACAAACATCCTATTCCACCTTACTTGTGGCGGTTCAACCATTTAAGTTCCTCAGCGCAGGCTAAAACTACCACGAAGTCGTGTTAAGGGCACCACACCGACCAGGCCTGTTATGTCAGCCGGCACCTGAAATTAGGAGTAAGGCTATAGATAAGATAAGCCTTAATCACCAACTGTACTTTCTGACTTAGAACGCATGAGCAAGGACACTACTCAAGCCAAGATTCGCACGCATGGGCGTGTGCATGGCTACTAGAGATCAGCCGATCAGGGAGCTCTGCTAGAGATCATGTTCGGTGGATACTTCAGAGGATAATGAAATTGAATAGACACTACAGGAGCGTAGCCGTACTGACTTAGACTTATCAAGCTAGCAATCCTCCTCAACTGGTCATGTCGAAAAAAAACACGAATTTGAAGCGAAACTATTATGGAAACTGTGCTGGAGAAATGATCCATCCATCGAGCAGATTCTGAACGAAGTACATGAACTACTTCAAATGGATGACTAAGGCAAGTCCAATCATACGTCCTCAGGGAGTCTCAAATCAGCAGATTAAGACACCAAACTGGACCTGAAGAAGTGCCGCATTTTCATGACAGATCAAGACCGAACGACACCCTCAAAAAACAGGCAACGATCCGCCCTGCAGCATCTCAAAAGAAGACATCGTGGAAAACGGAGACCCTGCAGCAAATCCGAGCACCAAAATCCTGGTTCCACCACACCCCGCAAATCCCAACTAAAAGACATGCCCCCCCGAACTAAAGCCACCTCTACCTTGCAGGTCACATAACAATAAAAACACTAATCACCTCGACTCTCCGAACCATTGGAAAGAAGAACTGAGTCCAAGTTCATCGATGCAGCCAGAAACATACAAAGCAACAAGCTCCCCATCCCTCTCACTGAAAACCACAAGCGACAATTTATCTATCACAGCCAAAATGTAAACTCTTCCAAACATCAAAAAGACGCGTGGGATTCTTCATCTTCACCTTCGAAGACCAAAGAACACGAGACTCCTCCAAAAACCAAACGACCGACTCACCTCCGCCTCCCTACTCTCTCGATCTTCAAACCACGACAACTTAGTGTTCATCTCTCACTTACCTCCAACAAAACCCCGAAAAGAAAGGGGACGCGGCGGACAGCAGAGCACAGCACCCACCCACCCATGCGTGCGCAATCGACAGATGATCACAAACAGAAAGAATGCGCCTGAACCCCACAATCGTTAAGTGAGTACCCACCTTGACCTCGCAACCATCGGGACCTATTACCATTCCAACAGGGTCTATATCGCGGAGGAGGCCTCCAACACCCCACCTGCAAACATCCAAACCCGTGGGAAAAAACAAAAAAGCATGGGTAGACCAGAGATTTAGCAATCTGCTACACTCCAAAATCCACTCCCGACAAGAAGAAAAAGAAGAAAACATTGGAAAGAAAAACCTGCAAGCAAACAAACAAACAGAAACTAACAAGATATCAGGCCATGGCCAGTGGATATGGCAACGACGGAATCTGATAAGGATGAGGAAATGCTAAAGAAAGAGGCGCCCGCCGTCCCCGTTAATTTCTGGATGGGATATGGCGGAGCTTCGAAATTCGAAAACAAATTTTGCTCCTCTCGCAGCAAAATATCCGATGCTAATGTTGGGGACCCCCCCCAGTGCTGCCCGCTCCTGCCTGAATCAATCTGACCGAATCTTCCATAATCATCTGTCCCTACACTCCCCGCCGTGTCACCATCCGTCCCCGCGGGGAAGTTTTGTCGCATCTTCACCGTCCGTGATATCGACGGCATCCCGCCTGTTTCTGGTCACGCGTGAGTCCACGTCACTGGGCTCAGTGTGGTCGATGGCGACGTGCAATTACTTGTTTGTGATTTTGGAATATTTGTTAATATCTTCTTTTATGCTAATGGATACATTTTACGTCCTGGATATGGATGAATGAAGGATGCAGTTAGTAAATTTCATTCGTTTTGTTTTAAAACTTTTTGTTTGCATGGAATGTCCCCAACTCTAGAGAGTATTTGTTCAATTTTTGTGTTAAACTATGCATCTCTCATGTTTGAGATTGCCCATAGTTTACAAGAATTGTTTTAAACAACAATATCATGTATTTAGCTGATTTTAGTGAATAAGTTTGGCAATGCGTCAATCATGTAGTCAAATAGCTCATTCTAATTGTCAAGGTTTGTTTGCATTGTGATGCATCTCAATAGAAACAGTACAAAATAAAATGATGAAATTACATAGAATAAATTGACATGATATGGATTAAATTATGTATCACAAGTGGTGATTGTTTAGATTTTCAGTAAACGGAATACAAAAAGTATATGCTATTAACAAAATAACAGACAATGAAAACAGTGTTAAATGCCCTGAAGAGAATTCAAAATTATAAGGAATTCTCCATACAAATGTGAAATTAATGCAATTTTTTTATTCTGCATGTTTCAACATACCAGAAATGTATTTTAAAAATAATAATTAAAGGTCATGCACTTTATTCTTGAATGAGACAGAATGAGGGAAACATCACAAGAGCATCAAACCATTAAAATTCCTGAAAATGCAAATTTCCCCCCCTCGAGACGCAGGCTGATCCTTTCCCTTCCGCTCTCT